CATAGAGACCAAAATAGTTCTTGCCAGCCACTAGTGGCCACTCCAGAAAGTGTAGTTTCCTGGCACTACAGTTTATGTTAGTATTAGAGATACTGTCAGTGACCAATATTTCAATTGATTCAGCCTGCAGAAGCTGGGTCTCACAACATGAAAACGCTCAAAACTGAACACAATTCAGCAGATGAGTTTAAAAATTTTGCGTAGAAATATCGTTTATGCATTTTGTACCTCATGCAGTGAATCTATTTTAAACCTGCGACATGAACTGTGCAAATAGCCAATATTGTTGCAATGACTTGTGATAGTTGTGTGGGCTGCATCAACAGAAATATATATACTCTGTAACTGAAGTAACTAAAGTTAATTTCCGCAAGATTGGCATCTGAGGACATCTTAGACCCTACAGTTAGCTGGCATTGTACATCAATAAAGTATAAATGATTAGTTCAAGCAACTAGTGTTTTAGCTAGGGCAATAATTTTTTATTGTTTAGTTGAAATATTGTTGTATTTTTATTATTTAAGCTCATATGACTTGAGTTTATAGCAAGGTCAGTCATCTATAGTCGAAATGGGTTAATCCTAACAAAGAAACGTTTAATCTCATACACCGAAAATACACAATATTATCTATTTGTCGTTGTGAAAAATGCTATACACTATGGTACTGTCCTCCACAGATCAGTTCTCTGTAATCCCCTCTTTCTCTCTTCTCACCCTTGCTTTTTGTGTCTCTTGTAGCTCATGACTGCTGCGAAGTGGTGCTGGTCACCTTGTGCTCAGTCACCCGAGGTGTCCCCGAGGAGCCACAATCCCATCTGGTTCACGTGGCGCCATTGGCCGAGCATCGATTCAGCTTTGTTCAGGATTTGGCGTTTGACATGGCCCAGTTCCTGGTGAGCAGAAAGACGAGTCATTTCTATTCCTACTGTATGCCATCAGTTGAATAATAGAAATACTGAAGCTTGTCACAGGGCTGGAAAACAAAATTGGTTACCACTGGTTACAAGTAATACAGCTCTGTGTACAAAGTGACAGTTAAACAAAAGATTGCCTTGTTATTGTTTCTTTCCTGACAAGGCCTAATGTCTGACAGTTCTCGGTGCTCAATTAATGAATTCTTTTCAGCATAGTTTATCATCCCATGGAAATTTTATGAGTTTGCTTTTCTGAGGAGTAGGACAAGATAAAATAATTTTCTTGGGCACTCAAACTTAATGGAGCATGTTCCAATTTATAAATCCGAACATGATTTTTTTTTTTTGTCAAAACAGTGCATCCCCAAATCGAGCTTAGCGCTGATACACTCATGTGGATGTTTCTTCCTACATTTACATATTTCATTATTCAAAAGGCATTTGGTTAATGCTTTCATGCTGAGCGCTTTAAAACGAGTGCTCCCATTAGTCTGCGGCTCACTTCAACCTCTATGAAACTCGACTCATCTCTGTAATCACCCTCCACACAGGTGAGCACTGTGGGCCGGGCCGATGGCCTCGATGGGGCGCTGCTGCTGGATGAGTGTCAGATTCCTCTGCAGGAGTGTGAGCGTCTGGATGAGAGTTTGGCACTGGCCCTGCACCACCTCAAACTGCCTACAGGATGGAATTTACTGGGGAACAAACGATCCAACAGCACTGGTGAGTCTGGAGGACAGTGGACTCTTTGAAACAGGCAGAATGTCTCTGCACTGATGCAGGAACATACTGACAAATTATGGTTGTATAACACATACTGACACACATGACCCTGCTGTTTGTGTGTTTGTTTATCTGGCTGCTTTTATGTTTTTGAGCAGATATCAGGAGACTAGGAAGACTGAGGATTCTTTTTTGGCATTTTCAAAGAGAGACACTGTGATTACTGGTCAAAGACTTTGTTACCGATTAGTGCAGATGAGTGCATGGATGTAACAAGCTGTTTACTGTCTCCACGTTGTGTGGGTATGTGTGTGCTTTGCAGCATGCGTTACTGAAAGTGACTTCCATTTAACTTCTATTTTTATAGACAAATCTGGTGGTTGATTTATATATTGCACTCTCACTCTGGAACACCACCTCCATTACCGCAACAGCAGAGTGGAACTGAACACATTTTACATTACGACAGCGGGAGCACTGATGTTTGGGTTAATCACAGTCGGCTGTCGCCCCTTCTGACAGATGAACTTAGCTTGTGCAACTGTAGAAGTTATCCAGTCTCACAACGCTAGTCTGAAATTGGTTATGACACAGCTTTTGGGAAAGAAATAACATTAAGGTACCGCTTCTGTCTGACCTTCACAGTCTGTAAATTTAAATTGGCTACCTAAACCCAGCAGGAATTATTTCAGCTCCTAGCTTAAAATTTAAATCAGTAAACTGTTCGTTCATTTTAAACACAAGAAATCCATCATTTTATAAAAATTGGAAATGCGTGACACTGTGAAAGTTTAAATGTACTATTAACTTAGAGGTATCTGTGGTCGCAGCTTATCTCTGTAGAACGATCACTCCCTCTTCAGCAGTTTATGGTTAGTCTTTTCTTGGCACTTTACTTTAAATGTGACTTTGCTTGTGACATTTGCCTTCCACTGTTCTCCCAAATTTCTGTTATTATTAACTTGCTGTTGTGGAGCTTATATATGTGACCTGAGACCATATCAGACATGTTTCCGCATAAATGCAACCACCAGCTGTTGTTGAATCTGGCATTCCATTTTCATCTGAACTACATAGCTGTAAAGTTTTTTGATTTGCTCTTTCTGCGCTGAAACAGTGGTATCATCTGTCCCAAGACAGTTGTATAAACACCAGAACCCCCTTTGTTGTAGTTCGTGCTGTATTACGTCTCTTATTTTGCCCCGAGGACACATGCATAAACACTCACAGACCCACAAAGTGAAAACGATACCAACTAATCCATCAGCTGATAACACGGCTACAACAGAATAAAAAGGGCAATTGTGGAACTCTCTGTGGGCGGACATGAGGATGGACATTTGGTCAGAGATGCGAAGGAGGCAGTACTGTATGTTCCAGTTATTTTTCCTTGAGTACAAAAAGAGATAGTGGCTGTTTATTGTGGAAGTTTTGTTTAGATGTTTGGTAGTGCGATCTACATGGACGGTGCTCACAGATAATATCAGGGGAGGATTTGAAACAGCTGTGCGCCGAATTTGACTTGAGGCAGCAGAAAGAAGCTGCTGTTGGACATGGCAGGAGGTGAGCCCGAGGTCTGGAATTGATGGGCAGAGATTTCAACACCATTGCTTACTTGCCAACTAGGGGGTTGTGCATTTAAGGGTTGAAACACCCAGTGAAGATTTGGTACCACCTGACACCATCCTCTTCAGCTGCACATACTGAAGTAGTGGCATCTTGATTATATGCAGTAAGTGATGATATCATCAGTTAAAAATCCAATGCAGAAGTGCAAATCTAGCTTTGACCAGACTTGCTGTCAAAATACACATTTTTCAGGTAGCAGAGAAATTTGATCAACAAATGGGCTAATATATGGATGTAAACAATTTTTACTCAAAAGATGTATTCCTGATAATTTGTCTTAAATCTTCCATTGACTTGACACTGCCAGGTAGTGTCTTTAATAATGTTGTGTGTTTTCTGTGTGCTAATGTCAATGTGGTCACAGCAGATGAAGTCTTATTCATCCACTTGAAGAGTGTTTGAGGAGGAGTATTTCCTGGATACAACTAATTTTTTAGGTGCGAGGATTTGGGAATTAAAAATCCAAGACCTCCAAGGCATT